GTAAAATTATCAAAGGCTGACTGGTCCGCGGCGATAAAAAGGTTGGGGACCACTGCGTTACAGTATAGGAGAAGGCAATGCTTCTATCTAGCTGCCATGAAAACTGGACAGACTATGAAATTATCTAAAACAGTGGTCCCTAATGTTTATGGCCTGGTGGCCCAGCGAGGGGGGGGGGGAAGAGGAGAACTGACAGGCTGCTCACACAAACTGAGCTTCGTGCTCCTGTGTTACAGCCTGCCACTCGCGCAAGTCAAGCTACACATGCACATTTACCGGCCAGCCGTTTGTACGGCCCAGTTCTGAATAGGCCATGGCCTGGTAGTGGGCCGCAGCCTGGGGGTTGGGGACCCCTGATCTAAAGTCAAGATCAACTTTTCCAGAATTAATCACAAATTACCCTTTGAAGTTCTGAAAACTGTTACTATTGTTGTAGGAGTCCTCTTGCAATATCTCTCCTTCCTAATATGATAGGCAAGCTGATTCATGCCTTCAACCCTGTTTTTCCCAATAAAGAAACAGAATACATAACCCAGTGAATTACAACCTTCATCGCTGATTCTAAACATATGAGCAGAATCCAGGCAGGGAGCCAATTGTGACTGAATTAGAACAAGACCATTTTAAGATGTTTGTTGCATTTGTAGTATAGAATGAAGGCAGAAGCAGATAAGAATTATTTAACTGTAACAGCAAAGGAGGATATAAATTTAGAACCTATGAATAAGTAATTTAAATGTACAAATCATTCTGGGGATGGGAAGGCACATTGCCAGCTTTTAAATGTATTTCATTTATGGACAGATAATTTTGTGGAAACTTCTGTCGCTTTCTTTCTGAAGGGCTGTTCCACAATGGGCCAGTTTTTATTCAGGGGACACTCGTTTCTTTCCTTCCATTTACTGGTGAAGTTGAGTCACCCATATCATTTTGAGAGGGAGAAAAAGGTGAGTGGATTATCACCATCAAAGCATTAATAGTTCCAAATGTGCATTTCTCAATATCTTCTTCATTAGCCCTATAAAATAGATCCCAATTACAGTCTTCACAGAGCTACTGCCGAGACACAAGCAACTTGCCAAGGCCATCTTTTGAAAGCCGGCTCAGGAATTCTGGGAGTTGAAGTCGTAAAAAGAGCCATCGTTCCTGACCTCTGTCCTAGATTTTGTTGTCGTCCGCCAGCGAAGCTGGCAGCAGATTCAAATAGTGAGGAAGTTGGGGAGGAAGATGGGCCAGTCCTGGAGTCTGGTGAAGGCTCTGATGAGGGCTCTGTGTCGGAGGCAGAGAGGGGACAGAGCCGTCTGACAGTTATCAGCTGCCTTCAGAG